CAGAGGGTGAGGAGTCACCCAAAACCCTAGCAGAGCCCAAGTGCCTAGGATAATGCAAAGTTCTCTTTCAAACTGTAGTTTTCATTGAAAGAAGAAGAAAGGACTGATGAAATGCCCCAGCTTCCCTGTGGTGAAGTGAGGTTCCACCCACAGCAGGCAGGCCCGACTCTGAGGTCTGCAGGGCCCAGTAGCCTCCTGAGGTCACCAGTGCCTGGAGAATGAAGAACCAGGATGTGAACCTGGCCAGGCCTCCCACCCACAAAGCAGTCAGTGCCCCACACAGCAGGCCTGAGTCTCACACGGATCAGGAGGCAACCTGGAGCAGGACCCAGTCAGGGGCTAAGGCTGTGGAAGAGGGTGGTATTCAGCCCACGCAGGTCCCAATCGAGTGGAAGAGATGCTTCGACACCACTGGAGCCCATAAACACTCTGACAAATGTAAGTTTTCAACAGTATTGTTTTTTTGTCTTTGTTTTTGTTTTTTTTTTGACCAATAAAGGGATTGCAACCCTTGGCACGGTGTGGTCTGCACCACACTCAGCCAGTGAGCGCACCGGCTATCCCTATATAGGATCTGAACCCACAGCCTCGGTGCTACCAACGCCACACTCTCCCGAGTGAGCCACGGGGCTGGCCCTCAACAGTACTGTTAACTAGACTAAGGCACAACTCTCCAGCAAGCTGGGAACTGAGCCCCCCAGCACAGTTATGGCTAAATGATGGGAATACATGGCCCCCAGGCAGCCTCCCTCTGAAGGAGGCACTTCCACATGGCTCCTTGGAAGAACCCTAGAGGCAGAGGGGGCTCCCACCCTGGTTCTGTCACCTGTGGACTGTGTGCTTTTGAGCTGACCCCCATCTCAGGATGGAGAGGGTACGGGTGCCACGCCATGGCTATGTGTCAGTGCCTGTTGCCCAGAGCTGGACAAAGGCCAACTGTCACTCCATGGGCAGCAAATCCTCACCTCTCCCCCACTATCCTTGGCTGATTGCAACTTGGCCTTTGGATGCAGATTAAACATCCCTCCAGGGGGCTTCTCCTGATGCCCCAGATGAGGGAAGGTCCCCCTGGTCCCCTAGAACAGATGCTTCTCCCTCACGGCCCTAGCTCAGTTGGAATCACGACTTATCCCTGGTGTATCTCCGGGGCAGGACAGCACTGGCTAGGCTGTCTGGCGGGCTCTCAGAATATACGTGTTGGGTGAACACATTCACAACAAAAGGGTGTGATCAGATGTGGGGGTACGTACCACAGGTCAGGGTTATCGGTGCTGTTTTCTATGCTGAATTGTTCAATTTCTGGTCCCACCTGAGCAACAAATCTGGCCAGTTTCTCTGCAGTCTCCATTGTCTTCATGTCAACTACAAAACAAAGAACATGTCATGTGTTGCTTCTCAGCTGCTGTTTCCTGTGTGAACATTGTGCACATCCCTCCCTGCAGTTTCGCCCTTCGCCACATGACTCTGTAGCTCTGTCCAGCAAGAGGCAGACTGTCTTCCCCCCTTCAATCAGAGCTGGCCCTGGGACTTGCATCTGCTGACAGGAGAGGCAGAAGTGCCAATTATCAGTTCCGAGCCCAGGCCTCGAGGTGAACAAGACTGAGCTGACTGCTCGGGGGTGACAGGCACATGGCCCAGTCACCTCCACCACCCCAGCCGACAGCCCCAGCTCAGCAGATGCCCTATTGTCAGCAGACTTGGAGCACTATGGGTCACCTCTTGTTCTAAGCCACAGGCTGGAGTGGCTCGCAACAGAACAACAGCTACACAGTGCAGTAGGTGTGGAGATGTGTCTGACCCTACGTTCCTGACTAGTGTTCAGTGGAGCATGGTCAGAGAGCAGGCCCATTGACAGGGAGAAGGTAAGAGCTTAAGGGGACCCAGAGAAGCAAAAGGGGTGAAGCTGGTAAACTCAGAAGAAGCTGTGCAGGTCAGCTAACCCTTAGGAGATCTATAGAGACCTTGGAGAAGAGAAGGCAGAAGGAAGAAAGACAGCCCTAGGGAATGCCACAAGGAAGTAAGGAGAGTAAGAAACGGGATCCCAAGCACATGCACACACTTGTGCTGGCCACCCAGCAACACGACCCTGTTCGGGAGCACAGAGGCGCTGCAGCATCTTGTGAGGAAGTAAGGAGAGTAAGAAACGGGATCCCAAGCACATGCACACACTTGTGCTGGCCACCCCAGCAACACGACCCTGTTCGGGAGCACAGAGGCGCTGCAGCATCTTGTGTCAGCTCCACCTCAGGAGAGGAGGAGAGGGCAACAGAACTTGTATGCAGCCCTCTTGGGGAAGCAAGAGAAGACACCTCCACGTGTGCCCATCCTGGCTAGTTCCCTATAGCTACTGCCCGCCACCTTGCCCAGACTGCTGAGACACCATCCTTGCCTCTGGAGAAACCTCTGGAGATGGGAGAGTGGGGACTGGGGCCCAGAGGAGTGGGGACAGGAGTGAGCACCCACCGTCGGCAAATGGGCAGGGAGAGGAGGTCTGAGGGGTTTCGGAGGCGTCTGCTACTGCTGCTCTGGGGGATGGGCCTGAGGCTTCTGGGCTGGGGTCCTGAGGAGAGGGTCCAGCTGGGTCTGGTGGGCAGTCCTTGGCAGCATCACTTCCATCTGGCAGGGACGGCTTTGCCTGTGAGGAGCCTGGAGGCTGCTGGCCGTGGTGTCTCAGCCGTGTGACCGAGGAGAGGAGGGTCTGGGTGCCGATGGTTGCTCTCCTCGCCTTCCAGCCCCGGAGCCCATGAGCACGGAGGAGCCCCCGCCGCTGTCCTGGAAGAAGTCTCTTCTTGAGGTTGTGGACTGCCCGGGCGTACAGCATAGCCCGCACTGCACACTCAGCCGAGGTCGGCTTCTGATCAGCTCCCTGCCAGGTCTGGCTCAACCGCTGCATCTCTGCCAACTTCAGCTTGTAATATTTATACTCCAGGCTACTTTCATCAGACAAAAACCTATGTAACAAAACAGGCACAGCAGGACATTTGTGACAACACCACCGTGTACCAAATCATTGCTGCAAACACATTTCTGTAAACCCTTTCTTTTTTTCCTTTTTGTCTTTTTTTGTGTCCGGCAACGGATCGCAACCCTCAGTGTCGTGCCCGTACCGGACCGGGACCGGCAAAGGGATTGCAACCCTCGGTGTTGCGCCCGCACCTCGCTCAGCCAGTGAGCGGCCAGTCTGTATGTGGGATCCGAACCCTCGGCGGGAGCGTCGCTGCGCTCCCAAGCAGCACACTGTAGCAGTGCCGGGCCAGCCCCTTTTTTTGTTTTTTAATGTAAAACTTTTTTTTTCTTTTTCTAATGTGTCTAAATTTTTTCAAAGAGCATTATTTACTTCATTTCCATTTCATTAGCATCTTCTTTCATCTCTGTCAATCCTTCCCCTTCTAGCGTCTTTAGACTTTTTCATCATTTTCCTTCTAGCTTCACAAGTAGAATGCTTTTTATCTCCACTCCTTATTCCTAATAAATGCCCTGGAAGTCACACTTTTTCTCCCCAATGCTGTTACAGCCACCTCTGGCATGTAGTGTTCTCCCTGCTACTTCCTTCTAAACTGTTTCTGATTTCAGTTCTGATTCTCAAACGTTATTTAGAAGCCTGTTTTATTTTGGTTGTCGCTGGTTTCTAGTTTTCCGCACTGCATAACATGGCCCACCTGTTTTTTCTATCTCTGGATGTGCTGCAATTTTCTCTGTGATCTCATACGTAACAGACTTTTGTGAATGTTCAATTTCAGTTTGTGTTAAAGAAGAACGAATAATTTGGGAATATTTCAGGTGGCTTTCAGACTGCTTGATGTTAAGTGGCCACATATTAGGTCTTAGATGAGGTTTCTGATTACCAATGACACAGACACTGATTGGAAGTGAAGTGGCTGCGTGTCGCAGGGTGCTGGCAACACCATGCAACATGGCATATCCCTGGCAGGCAGCTCAAAGCTCCTGCTGACACTGTCCACACAGTCGAGGTCTGGCTGGACCTGGGAAAACAGGCTGCACCATGACTCCGCCACTACACTGAACCCTCTGCAGGGCTGATAGGAGCAGTCTCCAAAATCATATCCTGCCAAGCAAGGTTTCCACTTAAAAGGGAACACTGACCAACAGGCTGCTCTTGTTCTCCAGTCACATGCAGCCCCACCAAGGCCACCCTCATCGAGAGCAGAAGGCAGAATCAGTGCCCAGCAACCTGACAGCCCCAGTCACCCATGGCTCTGATGGAAGCCCCTTTCCCCTGGATGGTTACAATGTCGAAGGACATCAGTCACAAATCTACGTCCCAACTTCTGTTGGAATACAGCATCAAGAACACAGAATACTAGAGCATGGTGCTGACAACACCAAGGTCAAGGGTTCAAGCTCCATACCAGCCAGCAGCCAAAAAAAACCCCACAGAATACTCGCAAGCCAGCACAGCCACTTATTAGCTGTCAGCCTTTCTGCACCTCAGTTTTTCCATCTGTAAAATGGGGAGGATGACAACAAATTACTTCCTCATGTTGTTATGAGGCTTGAGTTGTACACTTTTCATCAGGAGGCAAGTGCTGCGAACACTGCCTGGCAGTCATTAACTGCTCCACAAATGTTAGCAGACCATCTCACCAGTTTGCTCTTGTGCACTGTGTTAGCAAGTGCTGCGAACACTGCCTGGCAGTCATTAACTGCTCCACAAATGTTAGCAGACCATCTAACCAGTTTGCTCTTGTGCACTGTGTTAAGTCATCCACGTCCTTATTTGGATTACATCATCTACCCATTTCAGAGAAATATATTCACATCTCCTACCATGGTTTTGGGTTATCCATTCCTCTTATCATGGTTTTGGATTTCAACAATTTCAAAATGTTATTTATTTACATAGTTCAAAGCTCTGTAGTTTGGACATCAACATCCACAATTTATATGTTAATGATGACTTTTCCTTTTATCAGGAATCTCTTCTTTCTGCCCCTTCCAATGCTTTTCTCCTTGAAATCTGTTTTCTCTGAAGTAACAACATTTCTCCAGCTGCTTTCTTTTTGCTAGCATTTGCCTATGTAATTTTCCAACTCTGCTTCTCACTCTGTGTTTTAGCATCTCTCATAGGAAGCAACAGCTGGTGCTTTTCAACTCGGTCTCTGGGTAGCTCACTGAAACCTGAACGTTACTAATAAGGTTGAACACATTCACAATGTCATCTCCTATTGTGTTTCCTATTTGCCCTTCTTCCTTGATTTCTTTTTCTTTTCTTGCTTTATATTGGACTAAATACATTTTTTGTGTGTGCCTTTTTTCCTCCTCTAGAGTAGTACGGATGTTGTAAATCCCATTTCTATTCCTTTAACAGCTAATCAATACACCTGTCTAAACTCCTGCTTTCCAAAGAGATATCCAGAGTTCCTCACTAGCTCTGTCCTCACTCTGAATGAGACAAGGGCCTGAGCACCCACGTCCCTTCTTCCTGTTGATGATTGGGATTTTCGTTTCTTTTCCTCCACAAGCATCAACTTAGATTTTCTGTTAACTTTGGGGTCCTTTGACAATCCTGCTGAGGCTAGGTGAGATGGATTCTTGGCTGCCTGCTTTTTCCTGTATGTGTAAACATGTGAACCTGTTGGGCTGTCCCGGAGAGCCTGGCCAGGGCCATCCCACTCCCAGGAGACAAATAAGAAGCTGTGTTCCAGAAAATGTAGTCAATGAATCGGGTTAATGTGATATAAACCATATAAAGATGATTTGAGGACAAATTGTGAATTAACTGTTGCTCTGTGTCTTTCAATGTCGTTTGCTGTCTCCATCATTAGACACAGGCTGTAATATTTCTCTTTGAGCTCGCAGCATAGTATCTAGAGGATAATAGGCACTTAATAAATATTTGCCAAAAGTATAAACAAATGAATAGAAATAGACCTGGAACCAATGCTATCTTCAAAACTCCTTTGTAGTAACAATGTTCCAAGATGCAATCTAGTGCCTTGACAAAATGAATATATCATCATATATGTGGCTTGCTCTCATCCTCAATGATTATTGTGCAGCGAACTTTTAGAATTAAGATCAGAGACCATACAGATCAGTAAAGCCAGAAGCACCTTAGAGAGCATTTGAATTCATGCCCTTATTTTATAAATGAGAAAAGAAATCCAGAAAGGCAAAGAAACTTGTAAATTAACTCCAAATCACACCGCTGATGGCACATTCAGGACCAAACCCTGCTCTTCTGGTTCCCAGGCCAGAGTTTCTTTAATTATACCATAATAGGTGTTAGTGCCAAGATATCTAGAATTCTGAGAGCTGCGTTTTGGTATTCTTTATTATGGTTTTGCTTAAATCAAATCAATATACTTCCTTGAATAGGAAGACAGTACATTTCATCAGACTTCAGAGTATGTTATGTAACTCAGTGAGATTGACTTCATTGCATACAGATTTATTGTTTATTGCTCTGAGCTATTTATCAGCATTTAATTGTTTATTTCAATATGCCTGTTTGGGACTATTTTATTTATTTAGTGCCCAATCTTCCAGAAATAGTGAAAAATTGTCAAGACATATCTTATACATTTTATATAACCAGAACATTTGACTGCAGGTATATAAGATTATCATTAATAATTCAAAATGCTGGTAATAATAGAATATGTTATGTGCATAAGGACATTTTTGATCTCAGTGTATCTTCCTCCAGAACTGTAGTTAAAGTATTATTCTTAGATGTATAAGTAGAAGTTATAAAAACTTAGCATTATTCATTTATTCAGATGTCTAGTCTTGTAGATGACTTTTCAAAGACTTTCCTTAAGCCACTTTATTGTCTATTACTCCATAGAGTGTCTGCTTTGTTGTCATTATTGAAAGAATATGATTACGTAGTCAGACTTTGTCAGATGGAATAGGGTTTATTTTAGGCTCACACTGTATTTGCCACAGATATTTTCTGATAAAAAGATACTGGACATAACTACAGGGTAACATAACATTCCATTTATCCATGACTTCAAGTGAAAAATCATCCCTAATAAATGTAAATACTGTAGTTGAGGAAGATTTGATGTCTAGCTGAATTCACAATTATAACGAGATCCATGGATATTAAAGGATGTTCATTAATGTGAAAAAAATTAATTTAAAATGCCCTCTTAACATTTACTGTTAGTAAGAAACATAGAAATTGAAATAGAAATTTTATGAATGAATGAAATTTTGGTGTTTGTGGGTGTGGATATTAGTTTCTATAATGTGTTTTAGTAATTATGGTAAAAGATCTCAGTGAAATCTGTTTGTTGTAAAGAAGTGAGCTGTCCATTCTAAACAGCTTATCAGTGATGGCAGCTGATAAGTTTTCATATTTAAATTTGTAAGTAAACTTGTAGACCTTTCATGGCTATAGAAAGAAACCTTCAGTAAAATAAAACTTATATTTGTTGGGCTGGCCCCACAGCTCACTCGGGAGAGTGCGGCGCTGGGAGCACCAAGGCCTGCAATCCCCTTACCGGTCCAAAAAAAAAAAAAAAGAGCACTGTAGTTTGAAAACTAAGTGTCAGCCTGCAAAGGAGCAGAACAAGCATGGGAATAGGCAATGGCAGAAACATTTTGCTTTTCTTTATGAGGTCAATTTATTTTTTGTTAAACCACATCCAAGAACCACTGTGAGAATTCAAACATACACACCAGAAACCTAAGTTTACTGGTTTCTTTACTTATCCCTGTTTTTTTTTTTTTTTTTTGTATCATACTCTTTCCTCTCATGAGTCTCTAGATAATGCCTTCTGGAGTTCATGGGTAATACAGTCTCAAGACCAACTCCCAAATTTGTTCATCAGAATCTATCAGCCAACCAGAGATTTTTATTTCAACAATCGTATTTTTCATTTCCAAGATTCTTAATAGGTTCTTTTCCATAACAACCAGCTCCTGTTTCACAGATAAAATAACTCTTATCTGCCTGAGACTATCCACTACATAAACAGTACATGTTTTTAGACTAAATTCCCCTTTCTTATAGTCACCCTGTCTTCCCGGGTGTCAGCTGTTTATTGAATTTGGTGACTCTCCTTCATGGAGTTAGTTTTCTTCAAATATTAGATCTCTAGTTCAATGCTTATTTCTGATTTTGCATCCTACCCTGCCATTACAATCCCAACACCTGAATCCGGTTGTGGTTTCTGCCTGCCGCCCCTGGTTTGTCAGTGACCATGCTGGGCTGTGTGCAGTGGCAGAGCATGAGCCCCCAGTCCTCTCAGGGCCCCCTGTCCCTCCAGCCCAATCACCTCATCCATCACCTGGAAATTGCCCCGGGGCCTTCCACATCTGGATGCCTCCTTATCAAGAGAGTTCGGTCTTTGCTTTCATTGGTCGATGTGAGGCTATCTAACTTCCTTCCTTCAGCATGCACACTCCTTAAGAACACAGACCCTGGATCTGAATCTTTGCTCTGCCTCTTACCAGCTGTACATCACCGAGGCAAGAGGTCTTGTGGAGCCTGAAGTTTCCTAACTATAAAATAAGGATATCAATAGACCTACTTCAAAAAATTATTTATGAGGATTCAGCCAGCTAGTGCTTAAATCAGTAATGTGCTTAGAACAGTACCAAGTGCACAGAAAGCATGTCTGTTAAATAAAGGGTATTCAATAAGTGAAACTGGGATAATTAGGTTATTTAGGGATTTTTAACTTTTAAGTTACAGGCCTACCTTATTCAATACATGAAAATAACCCAGACAAACTCAAGAATTTTACAAAAATAAAACCCTAACAGGCTCCAACCATCCCCCTGGTAAATCATGCTGGGTAGAACCAACGTTCTGGAACTGTTACATAGAATTTATGCCTTTCAAGCATCTTCAGTAATTATAACAGCAAAAACACCAAGTCTGGTACAAGTACAATTTTGACTACAAAAGAGGGCACAGGGCTGGCCAGTTAGCTCACTTGGTTAAAGCGTAGTGTTGATAACACCAAGGTCGAGAGTTTGGATCTCTATACTGGCTAGCCACTCCCCCAAAAAAGAGGGCACAGCAGAACATTTACAGAGTGGCAGCCAGAGTGTCAACTGGTAATAATAACCCATGGAAAGTAATCTGATGATAAAGATCAATAGTCTCCATCGGGACAACTCTGCCTCCTGAGAAGAGAATGGGCAGTGTCTGGAGGTATTTTTGGTTGTTATAAATGAGATGAAGGATTCTAGTGGCATATGGTGGATGGAGGCCAGTGATGCTGCTAAACACCCTGCAATGTCCAGGACTCCCCCCCACAACAATCCAGCCCCAAATAATAATGCTACAGCCAAGGCTTTTGCTGCAATGTCCAGGACTCCCCCCCACAACAATCCAGCCCCAAATAATAATGCTACAGCCAAGAAACAACAATGTGGATCAAAAGCCTCTCAAATGAACTTTTACCCAGCAATTTCACTCCCAGACATTATCCTAATAAATCACCAGAAAGGTAGACAAAAATACAAGCAAAACATTGTTCATCACAATGTTATTCACAAATGAGAAAAACAGGACATAATCTAGGAATCCAACCATAGGCATGGCTGAATAAGATACCTGTTTGTATCGGAATATTACACAACCATTGATAATAAAGACAATTAAGTGAAAAACACGGAACACAACTCTAAAGTACACACTGTGGAGGAACAAGCAATAGAGCTCTGAATGACTGCGTCCTTGCCTTTTTACCTGACTCTATTTTTACAAAGAGTACATGCCACTTTTATAATAAAAAAAGTTAAACCATAAAAATTGTCCACACCCAGCAATCTAATAAATAATAAAGATTACCCTAAACAAGCAAGAAAATGTGATGCATTATGTTATTCACTGAAGCAGTTTAAAATAGTGTATAATTAAAAACCTTCTAAAAGTCCAGCAAGAGAAGAATGGCTAAGTAAACTCTGACCACTTCCTCTATGGACTAGTAAATACGGCCATCTGAAATAATGTTTACAAAGGGTAGGTAATACAAGCATTTTCTTACACTACCTAAAAATAGTAGATGTATCACATGACAGCATAATCACAATTGTGTTAAAAAAAAAAACAACAGCTCATGGTGAGCAGAAAGATTGGAAGTGGATGTTGGTGGAACACAGGTGGGTTCCCCCTACTTTACCTTCTTCTTTACTTTCTCTAATAAGCAAGTCCTATACGAGTATTTAGGACGCCAACTGTGATTCTGAAAGTTGTTCTATTCACATGAAGAGGCCGTAAGGCAAAAGCAGAAGACACTTGAACAAATATTGGCAATAAATTGCAAACTGTTGAGACATTACTTATCTTACTCCACGTTCCTTGCATGCATGTCCCACTGTATCCTTAAAACTGCACAGCAGGGACTATGAGCTGCATTCACAGGCGAGAGAAGGCCACAAGCCAGTCTGCAGCAAAGCTGGGGCTTGCTGAACCCAGGTGAATCTGACCCACTCCCGTGTTCTTCCTGCTGGAGGACACCACTGCTCAAAACAGACATCTCACCCTCTGCTCTTCACACCATTAGTATGACCCACGCTTTGCCATGTTTTATGGGAGGGATTAATAGGGTTGTGACATTTAAAGACCTACCAGCAGGGCTGGCTGGTTAGTTCAGTTGGTTAGAGTGTGGTGTTGGTAACACCATGGTCAAGGGTTCAGATCCCCTTACTGTCCAGCTGCCAAAAAACCCCACAAAAAACAAGCAAACAAAAAATAAAGACCTACCAGTAAGCAGGGTCCTCCTTGAGAACAGCTCTCTCTCTGGGAGACAGGCTGCCTTCAACGACACGTGTGACAAGCTGGTCAATGGTGTCTACCACCTTGTGATCCGCTCGCTGGGGGACTGCTGGAACACACAGAACAACTTTTCTGAGAAACATGCTGGACCACACAGGTCCTGGGAGGACCAGGACAGTGAGTCAAGGGCTTAAGTTAGCATTGACCTAAGCAAGCATCAACAACTGAAATTCTCATTCATAAGACACCAGCTTAAAAAGAGGAAAACGATGTTTTATTCTGGAAACCAATATGCAAAATAGCCTCCCAAAAGATAAAATACCATAAAGACTAGGAGAGAAGCAGTCACAGGTTCACAATGACTTACAAAGAGCAAGTTATGTACATATTCTAGAAAGTAAATAATATGCAGCAATTCAATCCATTTTTCATGTATCCTTAATAACGTGAATGTTCACAATATTAGAGTGGAAAATATAAAGATAGAAAATGTATTTAGATATAAAATACTTTTTTTTTTTTTTTTAAAAGATGACCGGTAAGGGGATCTTAACGCTTGACTTGGG